AAAAAAATTTTAATTTCTACTGTGTTTCATTTCTATGGTGCAGAACGTATTCAGAGGGTTCTTCGATATGTTTCAAGTGTTTGTAAACTGTTGGTAGATGTTTAGGTTCCCTCAATGGAGATAAGAATGGAGGTAACGCTACGCACTCGACAGTTTCGGTTTAGTTCGTCTGTAGCTTCTTTTCCATCGAGATATGAGTTCCAAACGAGAATTATCAATCGAAAAACGTTCCAGTATTCTGACCTTCGCAGAAAAAAAATCGATTTTAGTTACTGTTGCAGATACTTGAATAACTTTCATGCAACGCGAATGCATATTTCGCTTGTGTCCGGATACTTATGGACGGTAGTGTATGTAATTGGAAATTTGTTAGATTGAAAATGAAAAGACTTCCGCGACTATGTAGAAAGCCACGTTGCTCGAGAGTGTACCTGTACGGGCAGCACCGTGGACCCCGTCGAGACGCGGCACGAGGGGAGGGGTCAAAGGTCGAATACGGGCGAACACAAAAGTCCGGTGATCGAGCGCGCATACGGACACGCACGAACGCGTGAGGACACACCCACCCATCCACTTTCATACGTACCGGAATGCATTCGCATTTGATGCAGTACATGACTCCGAAGGGCGGGCCCAAATCCGCGAACCAGGTGGAGCCCAATTCCCGTATCTGCTTGCCGAACGTGCATTCTGCAACAAAGAGGTATTTCAATTGGCTTTGGCGAATTTGTAGCTCATTCTCTAACAGCGTGTTACGGCATGACCGGGTATAAATATCGCTCTTTGAAAACTGGCTAAGTTGAAATATTTGAAAGCGAACTGAATGTATGTGATTCGGGTTGCGGGAAGGGAGTGGTCCGCGGGAGGGAAAGGCACGTGAGAGCATTGCTCAAAAGAATTAAAGGTGAAGTCTGATTTCAAATCGCCTGGAATTTATTTGGTAAAAGTTTAGAAACGGAGAGTGCGAAATTGCAAGGGATATGTGAATAATAGTACCGAACACGGTACTTGACCTGGCGGGTCCTGTCGGGAAGAGTCGGTAGCACTCGGATGGAGGATTTGTGACTTCGGATCTTCGGGTAGTTGGATCACGTTCGGGTAAAGTTCGATCTATCGAATCTTCAGCGCCGAATTTAAAAACACAGTAGTCTCAATTTTGCAAATTTACAAATTGAGCATTGTGTGTTTAAGTATTGTCAAAATAGTCCGTCCCGAAGTTATCCGAAGATCCCGAGTACACATTCGAACCCGTCCGACTGTGTCCGAGCCAACCCGAGACCGAAATGAATGGAGGACCTGTTCCGAGCGAGTCGCGCAATCGCCAACTTCTGAATCATCGTCACGCGCATACAAGCAAACATTTTTGGTCGCCGTTTAAAAATTGCCGAGACGACGATGAGACGGTGCGTAAAAGAGGAAGAATAAGAGCGACAGCGCCTGTTAGATGACGAGAGTAGGGGGAGAGGAAGAGAACGGCGATCTTGGTAAAAAAAAAATGCGTGCACCATTCTCGCAAGGCCGTTGCCTCGTTTAACACTGACGCTGTCTCACCTTCTTCCGCTAAAAAAAAAACAAGAAGAAAAAGCGGCTAAGGCCCGTGTATGACTGCGCGTTACGACGTCCTTTCCTTTTCCGTGTAAAAATAAATACCCGACCAGGCCGTGGCACCGAAAATAACGAGCCCACACTTTTTCGACGGATTATACGATTTGTACTTCATCCTTCGACTTCTGAGAAGCCGCCTCTATCCTTCCGGTTCAAATAACTATGTCGGAGGTCGTATTTGCACACGGTTAAATAGCTTCATTTCTCAGCAATTTTTAAGGCCCGGTTAATTTATTGTTCATTTGTGACGCTAACTTTGTTACGAGATAAATGGTGACTTGTGAGCAGCATATGTAGATGTTATGGAAGGGTCAGTCAGGCGCCATGAGAAACTAGGGAGTTTGGAACCTACGGAATTTAGGAGCTATGGAGTTAAAGATTCAGGTCTTGTGGAATTTAGGAGATCCATGAAATTTAGAATCTAGGGATAGCCTAGGACAGAAGGACACTTTCAGATCTATGGTACTCAGGACCTAGGGTGTGCAGAACCTTGGGAGATTAGAATCTGGGAAGAGTTTGGAACTCAAGGAATTTAAAATCGAGGAAGTTTAGAATCTGGGAAGAGTTTGGAACTTAAGGAATTTAAAATCGAGGAAGTTGAAGACCTAGAAGATGTTTGAACATAGAAAGACCTAAAGTTAAAAGTCCTAAACTTTAGCTTAGTAGACTCTGCTTAGGTCCAGAACTTAGCACCCAAATCCCCAAGATCTGCGTTCTCCATAAGTCCTAAACGTTATGCAAAGTTTCCAGATGTCCTATCTTACTTTCTACACTTTCTTCAAACTCCATACATCCCACGTTCTGAGTCCTCTCAGGTTCTAAACCCGCGTTTCTCTCCACATCGCAAGATTCAAAGGAAGCCGTCAGAAAGAGCTCACAGCCTAGAACTCCAGATGGATTCTGCCAAGAGTCCAGCACATCACATGTTTTGCAATATTTACATACCAGCGTTGCCTAAACGACTCCGCCCAAGGTAATTAAGACGCAGAGACAAGCGACGGCGATCAAAGCCGAAGTTTCTGACAATATTTCCAGACGGTGGCTGTCTAGAATCGCCTTTGTGCCCGTCCGGGACCTAATAGGACGCTCGCGTCGCGACGTTCCGTGCACGAAGAAAACGGAGAGAACGAAAGATCGGTGTTCCCGGTCTCTTTGGGCTTGTACGCGTCCACTCGTCCGTTTGCTTGAGATGCGCACGGCCGGCCGAGAAAGAGAGAAGAAAGATACACAGGGAGTATGGCTCGTTGCGCGAGGTCGTTGCACCGCGTGTGCTAAGTCGTTCTAAGCGCGGAGTCGGTCCTAAGTGTTACCTTTGTAGCATCTCTCGCTAACTTTGTAATGCCGACTGTTTCTCTATATTTATACTTCGAGAAAACGTACAGATCCGATTTTTTTGTGTCCGAAATTTCTAAAACATAGATCCTTTCATTTATCTAGCGAGCTTAAATCGTGTTTTTTTTTCTAATACGTAGATGGCAAAACGAAGTGAATAAATAAAACGAAGGCAGATTATCTATCGTGGAGAGGACAATATTTGTATTGTAAAGTTCCGAAATTCCTAGATTTCCAAATTCACAGATTCCAGGATCCATAGATCCCAAAATCTTTAGATTTTTAGCACTCCAGGTCCCTATATTCCTAGTTTATCTAGAATTTCACCATGTTACTTTAAACATATTTTATGTTTATTTTTACATGAAAAATGTAAGTTAGTACTATTGTAATTTAATTTATCTTCTTGTAGGAGGAGGACAAATCATCCCTGGCTGCAGCCATCTAGCGAATGCAAAGATGAGGGTGCCTTTAAGATCTTGTTCAAGGTAGTCGTAACAGCTGATCCGCCATATGTAAGAAAAACAAGAATGCATAAATTTCCAAACATATTATGTTCTTTTTGCTACTTGTGAGAAAAATATCAGACATTGAAAAAGCCTTACTACAAAATACATTGAATAACGAAACACAGAATTAATTATAGGGCCAAGAACGATAGGGCGTAAGTTTTTTAACGTCACGCGTAACTCGTATGTAGCATTCTATATACGAGATAGCACGTAACTGTACTGCAAAACAGCAGTTCTTCCAATCTCTTTGGAGCATAAAGTATCAAAATTGATTTACAGGGGAGGAAAAATGAAATTAGGTACAGTTTGACCCTTGAGAGCAATTTCATTACGTATATGCAAATACACGAAGTACACAAATTGATGCGCGCATGCATTTGCGCTTGCGCGACAAATCTGCGCTACTTAAAAGTAGTTTAAGCCATGCGATCAGACCGACGAACTAGTCTTTATAGCATTGCAGTGGAGGAAGGATCTTTGCGTTCCAGTTATACATATAACGTAAGTCCTATTTTGTATTATTACACATATATTTAGTCGCAACAATTGTACATTATAAATTATTATTCAATTTATTATTTTTATAATTAACATTTTGTGTATACTAATGTTCTAACCTTCACGTAAAAATATTATTAAACCGTACTAACTACAATAAATATGTTATTATAAATGCTTTTATTTTTCAGGTCCGAAATTGAATATACATACAACCTGCCTCGATCTTCGACAACAGAATTAAGCCAATAAAGAGTTACATAAATTACAAATTGTACAAAATATATTTGCAAATTGTATGTATTTATGAAGTTACAATAAATACAAGAAAAAAAATCATGTACTTATTTAAAATCCCTTCCATTACATTCATAAACATAACAGATAATCAACAGGTTAGGTCAGGCTTACGGTTAGGTTATATTATATTAGGTCAGGACCTAAGGTTAGTTCGGATCATGTTAGGTCAGGGCCTAAGGTTAGGTTGTATCAGATTAGGTTTGGAAACCTAACATATATCATTCCCCACGTTGCTATTACTATTATCGTGGAACTATAATTATTACCTTTATTACTCTTATTATTATCAATTTAACCGATTCCACTACCCATATTACTACTTTTATTATCATTATCCTTATGATTCTTATTATTATCAATATTATTACGCGTATTACAACTTTTATTATCATTATCCTTAGCACTCTTATTATTATCAATATTACTTCACATATTACTACTTTTATTATAGTTATCCTTATCATTCTTATTATTATAAATATTATTACGCATATTATACTATACTATACTACTATACTATACTATATATACTATACTATACTATACTATACTATACTATACTATACTATACTATACTATACTATACTATACTATACTATACTATACTATACTATACTATACTATACTATACTATACTATACTATACTATACTATACTATACTATACTATACTATACTATACTATACTATACTATACTATACTATACTATACTATACTATACTATACTATACTATGTATACTACACTATACATACTATACTATACTCTACTATACTATAGTACATATATATTATATAGTATTATATAGTCATATATATAACTACTTATATTACTACGCATATTACTACGCATATTACTACTTTTATCATCATTATTCTTATTATTCATTATACTATATATACTATACTATACTATACTATATATAGTACACTATACTATATGTATACTATACTATACTATACTATACTATACTATACTATACTATACTATACTATACTATACTATACTATACTATATATACTATACTATACTATACTATACTATATATAGTACACTATACTATATGTACTATACTATACTATACTATATATAGTACACTATACTATATGTACTATACTATACTATACTATATATAGTATACTATACTATATGTACTATACTATATATACTATATATACTATACTATATATATACTATATATAGTATACTATATATACTATACTATACTATACTATACTATAGTATATCTATATTATATAGTATTATATACTCATATATATAACTACTTATATTACTACGCATATTACTACGCATATTACTACTTTTATCATCATTATCCTTATTATACTTATTATTATCAATATTATTACGCACATTACGACTACTATCGTTGCAGGAACTGTAATTATCCTTACTACTCCTATTATTATCAATACTATTACGC